AGAAATAATATAGTGCTTGAGTTTGCTCCAAACTACTTCAGAAAAGAAGTTGAGAGAAACCTAGTTTTTAAAAAATTTGGCCAAAGTGGATTACTGTTGAAAAAAGGTGATGGAAGGAAGTGGTTCAGTGTATTCTCACCACTTATGTATGTTGGGAAATTTCCATAATAAAAAAGGTTCAGAAACAAAACAAAACAAAACCCTACCGAAATGAGCTACCTCTCGAATCTTTTTACACTAACTATACCTGCCACATACCTACACAGATTTCTTCCTTTTCTGAACCCTTACAAAATTCCACCTAAGTTTCTATCTCATTTTGTTACTTCAAATCTTCATCTATCTGTTTATCTCCTTACAGAAAGGACTGTAAAACATGGTGCTTGCCATCAAGGAGCTGATCATCTTTTTCTCTCTAAATTCTAACTTGTGCATTCAATAAATTCCCACCATGGACCAGATACTCTTCTCAATGTGGGCTGGGATGTAGCTCGGTGGTACAGCGCTTGCCTAGCATGCTGGGTTGGATCCCAGCACCAAAAAAGAAAAGACAAAAAAAAAAAAAAAGACCTCTCCCCAATGCACAGTACAAAAACACCAGGTCTCTGGCAAGACTCACAACAGCAGTCATTCCTCTGCTGAAAAACTTTTGCTGGCTTACCATTGTATGGCAAATAAAACTAAACTCCTTTACCTAGAATTCAATGTGTTTATAATCTACCACTGCCTGCCCTTTGGTCCATATCCGCCTACTTTGCAATTCTTGAACCTCCAAGCATATTTCTTGAAGCATTTTTTATTATTCCATTTCCCATGCCTGGAAAACCCTATCAAAGATAGCTTTCTGTAGATCTGAGACCCACCAGTCCTTCAAGGCACACTTTCTACTTTCTCCATGCAGCATTCCTAGTATGTACACTCACTTATATCATTCCTTTAACTGTTAACAAGTTTAACACCCTATACCTCACAGCCTCCAAAATGTCAACACAATGCCTTCCCTATATAAGGTGCTATATTAATTATCATATTACCAATTTACCTAATTACTTTGAGTATCTAAAATAACTGACCTATGTATGAGTCAAGATAGAATGTGTTCTAGGCCCAGTCTCCTAATCCCAACCTTGACAGCTAATGTTACTGGTCTATAGCACTAAATTAGGCACTGGTCAATTCCCAGTAGAATTTGGGTGTTTTTACTTAACTTCAGATCTACAGAGTCCTATTGAATCCAAACAAAATAAAAATAGTCCTAAAACAAACAAAATAACCAAAGAGAGTTAACCATGAAGTGCACGATAGCTCTGAGAAGGGTTTACCTAATCTCTTCTGATTTTGGGGGGTGGGGAGGGTTTTAGTTTTAAATAGGAATCAATTCCTATCTCAAAAATTAACTGTTATGTTAAACTAGAGAGAAAAACCTGAATATCTCAAAGATTTTCTCCCCTTAAGGAATCCTACAGGAAAAGAAGGAACCTAGTGTCTTTTTAGGTCATATGTTATGAGGGATACAGCATTTCAAATATCAAATAGAAGAAAGCACTACTGTCTCAGTTACCATAAAAGTATCTGCTTATGAACCTGTCTCTTCAATCAAACCTCAGATCAGGGAATCAAGGACTGGATATCTGGTCTTATCTTTGTATATCCTAAGTCTAACAGCCTGACACACTGAGGGACTCAAGAAATGCTCCCTCAATAAATCAATAAATTCCACCTTAGGTTAAAACATGTTCAAAATGCCAACAGCCTGTTAAAAAGTAACAGAAAGAGGTTAAATTATATATTCAATTGTCAACTGCCTGTTAAAAAGTAATGGAATTTCAAAGTCACATGCATTTTATACTTAAGCAGACCAAGCACAATCTATAGGCATTTTCTTTTTTCAGAACTATTTCCAATGGATAACATGTAAAGTGCCCTAAGAAACTGGGATGGGGATGTAGCTCAGCAGTACAACCCTTGCTAGGCATGTAAAAAGACCTGGATTTGATTCCCTCCACATCACAAATTTGCAGAAAGAGAAAGAGAAGGAAACTTTCCCATTTTATCACTAGTCTTATCAGGACTGTCCACTTTTTGGATGGGCTGAAAATGTGGAGATGCTTCTTCACTGATACATCTGATACTTTTCCTGTGCCTGCCTCAGTTTCAAATGGCTCCTGATTTTTTTTATTACCATTCACTCCCCCCACCAAACACACACACACACACACACACACACCACACACACACACAAAATCACCCAGACAATTATCAAAGAATCCAAGCTTCAGGATCATAGTGGAGGATGTATATACACATTCATAAGGAATCACATTTGAATTTAAATGGCTCCATGAAGGGCTGGAGGCATGGCTCAAGTGGTAGAGTGCCTGCATAGGAAGCACAAAGCCCAGAGTTCAAACACTAGTACCAAAACTAAGTAACTGGTATCACTTAAAGGTAAAACTACTGCAAAGTGATTAAATCTCCTAGATTTATTTCTATAAAATTGAGGTTATCTGAAAACAATTCTTGGTATGAAATTGTCTTTTTATATTATTTGTACTTAATTTTTTTTAAAGACACATGTATTAGAGATTGATAACAGGTGAAATGAGCAGTGCATTTGGCATAAAGAGGGAACATACACATCCTCACAAAAAAAGGTTGTAAGGAGATGGTGGGCATAGGGACATTCTTCTGAAACAGTGCAAAAGTAATCAAGTACTGCTCACAGATTATTAGGCAGAAGTGCTGACAAAAATATACGCTATTTATACTATAGTTCTTTCAGACACCATACACTGTACCCCCAGAAGTAGATAAAGCAGCTTTGAAAAACGTAAGAGAAACAGTACTTATACTCAACTCATAAGAGTTTAAAACATACCCCAATTTAACTTAAATAGGTGATTTATCAACAATCCAGGCACCATAAACAAAAAGCCCAAATTAAAAAACGAAAAATCCAACAAGTCGAAAGAAGTAGTCACAACTTTTAACTCTTCCAATTCTGGTTATTTCAACATTCCCAAAGCCAACTTCATTAAACAGTAATTTGTTCTCTTAATACAATTCTGTGAAAGCAGAAATGATGGTTAAAAAAAAAAAAGCCATGTTATCTTTTTAACCGACAACCTACCTCTAAAGATAATCAGGATCAAATAAAATCACTTAAAAAAATGTTTACAGAAACACTGTTTACCATATAGAAAAACTGGAAGCAATGTAAACTCCATTAGAAGAGTGTGCAGCTCTTGAAATTAAAGAACTATAATTAGTCACCCTAAAGATAACACTTTATTAAGCTAAAAAACAGGTTATAGAACAGCATATAAAGCAAAACTGCATGCACATATCTGCATGCAAGGATGTCACAAACACCCTTGGAAGTATCATTTGAGTGCTGGGATTTTTTGAGATTTTTGCACTTGTTCTGAAAATATTTTCAGAAAATCACAATGATCCTGTGTCATTTTATAAATAAACTTTAAAAAAATGTTATCTTCAGTAAATATGCTCAGTAACTATAAAATGCCCCATAACTGTGTGGTTTACCCTTTGTAAGGCAATCCAGCACTATCACAATTATAAATGCCTATCACTTTGATTCAGCAATTCCAAACACAGGTATTTACTATTTTTGCAGAAGTGTGCAAAGACATGTTTTTGTTCAAGAATGTTCATAGCAGCATTGTTTATATTGGCACAGCACTGGATGTGACCCAAATATCCATCAATAGAGACTAGATAAATTATATACATTCAATGAAATACTGCAGAGCCCTGAAACAAGAATGAGGTAGTTATGTGTGCTGGAATTAACAACATCCAAGGTAAAAGTTAGGGGTTAAAAGAACATACAACTGTATGTATCAAGCAACAGTGGGGGGGGGGAGGAGAAGGGTGCCCAGACACCCAGACAAGCAGGTTTATATTTGCATGGACTATATCTCTAGAAGGACAAAGAAATGCCTGTAAATAGTGGAGGTCTACAAATGAGGAGTAATAAGACATTTTTCATTGTAAAAAAAAAAAATGTAGACCAATTTATACTATTTGAAAAAAATTTAACAGGTAGTTATGCTACTTTTAATAACTTTAAAAATCAGTGAATTAATTTGTTGTTGTATAGATTTAAGAAAAACAGAGTTTTCAAGTGTCAAAACTATGCTATGGTAGTTGCTTCTAAGGCCTTAAAAAATTCAGCCAGCTATCATTAGCTGCTTTTAGTTTATTACAATAAATGAAAATCATACACTTCTCACATCTATGCTCCTTCTGGACAAAGGTCTTTACACTGTTGCTAGCCAACAGATCCCCATTTGTTTAAACTAGTCCCTGTTTTGCTCTCAGTATTGAAGCAATGTTTAAAACTGTTTTCTCTCTTGCTACATTCAGTACTTGTTCTACATAAAAGGATTTTCTAATGGCCACAAAACTGTGGAATCAGGGAACAGGTAATTGTCCTTCCTGCTGATACTAATCCTTTCAAGTCAGTGTGGCCTAGCCTTACCTAACAGAGTAACAAATGAAATGCCTGCCTAGAACAAACATGGTGATGACTCACTAAATATAGTAGTTTCTACTCCAAGACTGTTCTTTAAAAACAAAAAGGCCTAAAAAAATGTATTCCATTAGCTTCTCGGCCTTTTGGCTAAAATCAAGTGAAAATGTATTACATTTAACTATACCCCCAAGCAGATGAAATGATAAGCCTGAATCAACACTGAGTACTACCAGGCTCTGCTGCTCTGGGAACCAATTTCCAGGAGGTGGAAATTACTCCAAGAGAGAAAATGCTGCTTAACACATAAGGCTTTATCGCACTTGTTCACTGTATTACTAAGTAACAGAGAAATTCAACAAGGTAATCCTGGAAGGGTTACCTAATCAAAACACGTCTGTCATTGTTGGCTTACTCAACACCAATGCCTGTAATTATGTATCAAACTTCCTGAAAATAAGTGGGAGTCACTTAAAACAACTCAGAACAAAGCAGCTGAACTCACCTTTAACACTTTTTCTATTGACATCTGCCCCCTTTTCAAGTAAATACTGAGCAATCTCCTTATGTCCTTTGTAACAGGAAATCATCAAGCACGTGTGCCCGTGCCGGTTTGACACTTCCAAATCAGCTTTGTGCTCTACGAGGTACTTCACTATTTCCAAATGACCATCAAAACACGCGGCGCGAAGAGGAGTCGAGTTGGTCAAAGTCGTGTTGTTGACAGATGCCCCATGATTTAACAAAGACTGTACCACCTTCAGATGTCCTGCTGCGGACGCGGCCCACAGAGGCGGCGCCCCCTCGATGGTCTCGCCGTCGAAGTTGACGGAGCCCCCGACCTCTATGGAGGCACTGCACTGCTCCAGGAGGAACTCCACCATGTCCAGGTGCCCATACCTGGCAGCCATCAAGAGTGGCGTGGCCCCGTTGGTCTTCTCGGAGATCAAGGAGGAAACCTCCTCTTTGGATTTGCTTGCCAACAATTTGGTGAGAAGCCGGAGTTTGCCATCCCGCGCTGCGTTGAACACTGCTGTCTTTAGATCCATCGATGTCCTGTCACAGGCTGCGCTGTATTATTGATCCTACAAGGCGACGCTCCAGCTTAACTCTACCAGACCCAAGTTCAATGTCAGTCACTGCACCCCAGAACAGATATAAAGCCACGGGGAGGATGTTCCGTCCTACTGCATTTCAACATCTGACAAGTAGGGCTGCAAACTACAGAAAGAAAAAAGTAGGTCTGAATCTTCCATGCGTTAAAAACAGCAAAAAACATCATTTAGGCTTTCTTCATTTCTAATTGTGTAGGAAGAAGGGAGTTAAAAAAAAAAAGAAAAGATGTACTTTGGAGGCTATTTTCCCCCTTCGCCCCCCGCCCAAAAAGTGGGAAAGGGAACTACAAAAGGGTCACAGCGGGACCCAAGCACTCCAAGACACCTGGTTCTGTCCCCAGCTTTGTTCTAGTGTGGCTCTGCCCACGCCCAGGGACAGCAGAGAAATGCTGGTCGTCCTCGCATCTGCAGAGAAGAGCGGCCAAGGGCGCGGGGCTGCAAGGCCTCATGGTGGCCAGGACGAGTTTCGAGGAGGAACAACAAAAAAAGGCCGGCCACAGCAATCCTCGGCCAGCCAACGCCAAAAACTAGCCCGACAGCCGTCCGTCCTACCCAACCACTCGAGGCTCACAGGAAATCCGGCTGCCTCTGGCCGTGAACTTCGCCCGCCCCATTTTGCGCCCCCCACCCCTTCAAGGCTCCTCCACATCCCCCCAAAAACCACGTAGCCGCCACGGCCGTCACCTCCTCCGTGGATACCGGGGCCTCCCCAAGCCCCATGGCCCCACCACGGCGCCTCCAAGGGTCGGGCCGGTCCGGGGCCTCCAGCCGGCCGCCTCTTCCGTCCCCGCCGCCCGCCTTCCCGCTCAGGCCTTCCCGAGAGCCCCCGAGCCCACCTGACCCGACCGCCGCCACTACCTGCCCGGGGTCAGTGCTCCCGCCGCCGGCAGCCGCTCGGGCTCGGGCCGCCCCCCTTCAAATGGAAACCGTTGTCCCTGCCGCCGCCCCAGCCGCCCTGCTCCGCCTGCGGCCGCACAGCTCCTCCATGCCCCGCGCCCCACAGGAATGAATCCGGCCGCGCTGCTCGCCTCGCCCCGCCCCGCCGAGCCGCCTCCCGCCCTCTCAGGCTGCTCGGGCCGCAGCGGCTGCCTCGGCGGATGGTGTAATGGGCTGCGGGCCGGGGGCCGGACAAGCCCGAGCTCTGCTTCACATTACTGACGCGGCAGCCGAGCCATTGGGCCGGGGGAGGGCGGCGGCCGCCTGGAGCAACCGCCTAAGGGCGGGACAGGCCACCGCGGCCTGGGCGGGGAGCCGTGAAAGGGGCGGGGCGCCTTGGGGGCGGAGCCACCGCCAGTTCCGCGAAGGACGCGCCTGCGTGTGGTGGGCGGGGGGGGGAGGGGGGTGCCGTGAAGGACGCGCCTGCGCGTGTCGAGGGGGGGGGCGCTGTGACAGGGCGGGGCGCAGTGGGGGCCGGGCCGCCTTGAGCTCCGCGAGTGACGCGCTTGCGTATGGCTGACCGTGGGCGGAGTGCTGTGGCGGGGCGGGGTCAGAAACCGCGGAAATCTCGCGGCACCACAACTTTCAGGATTTTCCTGCTCTAGCTCGGGGGATCCTTAGGTACCGAGCCAGAACATCCCAAGAATGTCGACCAGTGTTGCTATCCTACCCACAGGCGCACTCTCAGGTTAGTATACCCAGCTCGTAACTGCACGTGAAAACAAAAGCACTCAAGACCGAAATTTCAGAAAATGAGATTAGTTCTGAAGGCCACCAAACATGACATTTAAAAAAAGACACGTCTTTGAAAAATATGAAGACTGCGAGGAATGGTAAACCTAAGAGCAGTATAAAACCAACAGGGTGTTCTGGAATTTTGAACAATAAACCAAAAGATGAAAGAAGAGCCAAATAGTTTACATGAATGAAAGGAATTGCTACTATAGCAGGAAACAAATTTATGGAAATCGTGACGTTAAAATCTGAATGGACGGGATTAAGCTACTTTGAAGAAGAGTTTAAGTATGTTTGAGAGGAGATTAGTGCAGAATGAACTTCATGGACAACGAAAAAAAGTGTAAAGTGGGAGAGTTTATTGGTATAGAAAAGTGTTAAGTGGGAGAACCAAACCTCTGGGGGAGGTTCCCAAGAGAAGGTGCCAGAGAAGTGACCAGATCTGAGGTTTTTTTAAGCCATTCTTGGCAGGGCGTTGAGCAGCATTTTGGTTGGCTGTGCCTGCAACGTTCTGATTGGTGCGTCCTGATCCTCACATGGTCTGTCCTGCCTTTCCTTCTTTTCACCCTTCAAGGTCACAGGGAGGTCATAATGGAGGTTTCCAAGGGCTCTTCTGTCTCATTTGGAAAATAACACCTGTAATGAATCATGAGAAACAGACCTTCAATCTCTTAAACACTTGATTTAGTGGAACTTGGATTCACACAATTACTTAGTACCACTGGGGAAAAGGGAATTTTAGAGTACATTGACCTTCAGAATCATAGATGTCATCATCACCATTATACACAAGCCATGCAACACTAAAAACATTTTATAAAAAGTCACTTCTTCATTGTCTAGAAGTTTATGTACTTTTACATAATTGACTCATTTTTTTGTTGGTGGTGATGGAACTAGGACTTGAATTCAGGCCTTCTTGCTTTCAAAGCATGGACTGTACTGCTTGAGCAACACCTCCAACCCATTTTGTTCTGGTTACTTTGCTGATGGGGTCTCACAAACTATTTGGCTCAGCTAGCCTCAAACCACAGTCCTCTCTATCTCAGCCTCTCAAGTAGCTAGTGTTAGGACCCGGAATCCTATTCCCCCGAGAGACAGAGAGCCAGGCGTGAATGCAATCAACAAAGCAGAGTTTATTGGACTGGCTAGCCAGGGTCGAGCTCCCACACGGACACGCAGGACCGGTTAGGAAAGCAAGACCCTGAGCCTCTTAGGGGGAAATCTTATATAGACTGCAGTGGCGTGCATATTTTTGTTATCAACATTAGACAAGCAGGCAGAGCACATCCTGCACGTACTTCACATCTTGCTCGTATCTCACATCTTGCTCGTATCTCACATCTTGCATTCCTCACATTCTATATGCCCTAACTGAGCCCTGCCTCATTGCTTATCTTATCTACATGGGATGTTTGGTACTGGTTTCTCCAACAAGGGGGTTGGGGCCCGCTGAGACCTCATATTCCTTTCATTCCCCCCTTTCTTATGGCCTAAATTGAGGAATCATCCTCGAGAGGATGAAGAGCCTGATATTGTTGGCGGAGGACCAGAAGTTGGATAGTATTAATTCGACTTTTGACAAAAGTCATAAGTCGGTTTAGAATCCAGGGTCCTATGGTAACAAGCAGTAGGATGATTATTATTGGCCCTGCCAGTGCAGATAAAAGGGTAGCCAACCATGGGGACTGGTTAAACCAAGACTCGAACCAGCTTTCCCCTGCCTCTTTTTCTCGTTTTCTTTGTTCCAGGCTCTTTCGGAGTTTAGACATGGAGTCACGAACAACTCCGGTATGGTCAGCGTAAAAACAACATTCTTCCCCTAGAGCAACGCATAGTCCCCCTTTTTGGAGGAACAACAAGTCCAGACCTCGTCGGTTTTGAAGTACTACCTCAGACAGAAGTGAGGGATTTTTCTAGGTGGCTAATGGAGGTTTCTATTCTCTCTATATCTTCGTCTATGGCTGCGCGCAGCGAAGACATCCCTTTATGTTGAGTAGCCAGGGAGGCTATGCCGGTCCCTGCCCCAGCCACCCCTAGGCTAAGTAGGGTAGCAATGGTTAGTGTAGAAATAGGCTCTCTCTTCTTTCTCTCACCTGTTCCTATATTCCAGTATGAATATAGACTTTCCTCCGAATGATAGAGGATGCGGGGCAGCACAACCACTATAACACAGAATTCTTTAGAGCTGTTAAACACCTTAGTTGATAGGCATGGGGTGAGTCCGGACCGCGAGCATAGCCACCACCCATTGTCCTTTGGAATTACCCATTTAATAGCATTTCCCCAGGTAGAACTGGCGTTAATAACAGTACATAAGTCCCGTCTGTTCTTTGGCACTTTTCCTAAGCAGGTTCCTTGGCCGTTTACCTGCTGTATGGTCAGACCTCTCTTACGGTCTCCCCAGGAACATTGAGTAGGGTTTTCCTCAGATGAGGTATCGTGAGTGGTGTTTAGCCCTATTGCCTCATAGAATGGGGGCCTCACATCATAACATAACCAACAGGAGTTAGTCATGTTAGGGTTGGTGTGGTTTAACGTCAGGAAGGCAGCACCCACTAGCTCCCAGAGGGGGTCTTTAGATGCGGTCATGAGACTGGGCCTCACCAGGGGAGGGCTGGTTTCTGATGGTCTTGGAGTTGTAACATTAGCCCGAGCTATGGTTGAGGGAAGGTGGTGAGTTGTGGAAGGTTGGGGAGATGGCTTTACATTGGGCGGCCTAAGTACCTTATTGGGGCCTACTGCTGTGGACGGTGGCCCTATGGGCTCAATTTTTAATCTGACCACTATGGTCGAGCCAGCATGTCCACCATATTTATAAATACAAGTCCCCATACCTTACCTTGTATCCACCCAGGGGTGTCCTTCTTGCCAGTTTCAGTGAAAGTGACCTTGATTCTATCTAGATCCGTGGGCTGGCATTTATGGGTGGGTATTGGAATTCTGTGCCCCCTTAATATCCCATTTACAAAGGCAAATTTGACTAGGTCTGATTTTGATATCCCCCATTTCCATTCACTATCATTGGATGTGACACATGCCCATGACCTACAGAAGGAGTATTGTATCCCCCCACATTCCTGGTTCTTTTTGTGGCCGGGGCAGGCATAAAACCCATAACGTCGGGCTGACTCCGGGGCAGTAGACTTGTAGGCAGGATTGATGTCTCTGAAGCAGAACTGAAGCTCCGGCCACCAAGTTCCTATGGGGGCAGTGCGAGTAGTCTCGTTGAGGGTGGTATGAGTCTCCCCATCGGTGAGTATCCAGGTTTGCTTATAGGGCTGGTGAGGGTTGGTTTCTGCGAGGCTCCCGCTCTGGGCATTGAGCAAGATCAGAGCGATCAGCCACCCCATCCGTGGCTGCTCCTGAAGGCTCTGCATGTTCCCGGGGCCACAAAAGCTTTAGCTTTAATGGGTTGTCTGGGTGCCGCCGTACAGTCCACTCCTTGACCCCTTCTTGTTTTTGATGATTGGCTCGACGCACGTGGGAGTGGTGGATCCAAGGTCCGATGCCATCAACCTTGAGGGCGGTAGGGGTAGTAAACAGTACAACATAAGGTCCTTTCCATCTAGGCTCTAGGGTTTTGGACTGATGCCTTTTAACCCATACCATGTCACCCGGGACTATGCCATGTTCCGGAGCCGGGTCCCTCTTAACAGCGTGGTATGCTTGAATTAAGGGCCAAATCCGTTGTTGCACTTTAGCTAAAGCCTGCAACATGGTCAGGTAATTTGGGGCCAGATCACCTAGTTCTGGGCTTAAGGTCCTCTGAATGATGGGGGGTGGAGCCCCATACAGGATCTCAAAGGGAGTTAGCCCATGGACATAGGGGGAGTTCCGGACTCGGAAGATGGCCAAGGGAAGGAGCGTCACCCAATCACCGCCAGTCTCCAGGGCCAATTTGGCTAAAGTCTCCTTTAGTGTCCTATTCATCCTTTCTACTTGCCCTGAGCTCTGGGGGTTATATTCACAATGTAGCTTCCAATTGGCCCCCATAGTCTGGGCTAGTCCCTGCAGGACTTACTAACAAAAGCCGGACCGTTATCTGACCCAATTGCCTCGGGCACCCCATATCTGGGTATGATTTCCTCTAGCAAAGCCTTTGCCACTACCTGACTCGTCTCCTTCTTTGTAGGAAAAGCCTCCACCCAGCCTGAAAAGGTATCTATGAATACCAGCAAATATTTGTACCCAAACTTTCCCGGTTTTACCTCAGTAAAATCCACTTCCCAACTTCTTCCCGGAGCCCTCCCCCGTTCCCGAGTACCTGTATGGTGCCCCTCCCTTCGTCCTGGTTTCATGATTGTGCAGCTGGCACAATCTTCCACAATTTGGCGGACTGCTATGGTCTGGTTCGGAAATCGGAGCTGCGCAGATGTCAACAAGTCTAGTAATTTTCTCCGCCCCAAATGGGTGGACTTATGTAAGTTAGCCAACAACCCTTTGCCACTACCTGACTCGTCTCCTTCTTTGTAGGAAAAGCCTCCACCCAGCCTGAAAAGGTATCTATGAATACCAGCAAATATTTGTACCCAAACTTTCCC